TCAATGGGATTTGGGGAAAATTCACGATTTTCCACGTGAAAAGCGGCCAACAAAAAGGAGACGGGGAATAATATACGAAGCACGGAGATGAAATAATAAAATACGCGTATGTATAACTGATATATATCGATCGCGCGCAAAGTAGAAGCTATATAGGGTTGGCATTACGCGTACAAGAGCAGCCAAGTTAATTACCTAATGCTCGGCGCTCGAGAGCTGCAGCGTACGTATAGGTATATATATAGCGGCGCACCGTCGAGATTTCGGGCGGGGGGGAGGTGACTAAGCGCAAAGGAAGAGCGTCGCGCTTGTTTTTCACAGCTGCTTTCGCTAGACTAGCTCTGGTTTGGGCTATGTATCGCAAGCTGCACATATAGCTTAATTACAATGGCAATTATAAGAGGGCCGTCGAGACATTACGAATGCGCTGCGCGCGCTCGAATGTTCCTTTCTCGCTCGGCTGCCGCTGCTGTTGCCGACTTATTAATTATAATTTTACGTATCTCAACGATAGGGTTAAAATGTTTTTAAAAAGAGTCAAATAAATAAATGCGATCCGTATAATATAGTTCGGATCAGGTGCGGAATCGACGGTCCGTTGCGACGTTGGGCTATTTACACGAAATAACTTTTAACTCGGTATCCTCCGACTGACTGCAGATATATAACGTTGTACGCGCGTATGCTCATATATAAACTTGATTATGCCGTCGTGGAAGCTCTGCGCAGCGAATAATACGAAAAGATAATAAAATGCTTGGATCGAGGACGGGACGCGCGCGCGTGAAAAGTTAATTTGTTTGTCGCGCAGCTGCCTGCGCTCTCTATATAAAAATCGCCAGCGCCACGCACGCTTCAATCGCCCCAGAGACTAATGACGTAATTATATGCCTGATACATACACACACGTACGTTCGCTTAATTTATTTCGCTCGTATCTTTGTCTCTCTCTCTCTCTCTCTCTCTCTCTCGTTTCGCACACTCTCGACTCCCATGGCCCGATTGAAAAATGTCGATCACGGATCGGGACACACGCATACCGCTGCGAAAGTAGAGTGCGCGTAAATATATGCTACATTGGCGCGCGCGTAACTGCCACATAATGAATATATATGCGCCGACGCCGACTCGGCTCGCAATGCGATCTGCGGCTCGACGAGCTTCTGGTCCATTAAGCCATCAAGTTTAATTGAAAATATAACGCCGACTACGACGACGAGTAGCAGTAGTAGTCTGAAAGGCGGCTGCGGTGCACACGTGCAGCGCAGATACAGCAATAATATATCCGCATCCTCTCTTTTGCGAGCGAATGATTCTTTCAACGATCATCGTGCGTGATAATGGTGCGAGATCGGGACAATCTCTCTCTCTCTGGCTTGGAGTCTGCTTTAAGCTGCTGGAGCTTCGGCCAACGATATTTTCCCAAGGAAACTTTTAGCGCGGCTCGCAGCACGGGAGCATAAATTTTCTCTCGCGAGAACGAGAGATTGTAATTTCGCCGGCTCCTTCTCAAAATCTCATCTAAAAATTTATCGCGGGGAGATATTCGATGCATAAAGTATGAGAGAGAGTCTAGTAGTAGTAGTGGTAGTATAAGTCGTCGTCGTCGAGCAGTTGATAATAATTGTGCCGGATAAGGGCGCGGGGAGCATTTGTCATCGCGCGCGCGCTATATACGCCGTAATGGATGATTTTTCAGGAGCTCGGATATGACACGCATTATTATAGGTATATTATTATATACGCTTATAACGAGATCGAAGCCGGAAAATAGATGCGCGCTCGGGAGCAAATTGTGAAGCTATCGATCGGATCGAGCGCAGCAGCCTCGACTACACCCACTTGACTCTCTCTCTCTTGCTTGCTTGCTGCGCTGCCTGTATATGTATCGGACAATGCTTTTCAGTCTCTGCCGCTGCTGCTGCTACGCAATATAGAGAGCGAATACGGGCAATGCGGACGCCGCGCACCGATATAGGGTACTTTATAAGCCCGGATAGAGCTATATATGTACAAGCTCGCGCATATGACGGCAGAATGAGAGATTAACGCGCTTTAAACGCGCGCGACAGCGTCAATACCACTCGTGTAACTCAATAACACTTGGGCTCAATTATATAGCGGGTGGGGCGGCGATATCGCGTCTATCGAGTGAGCCAAGCAGCAGCAGCGGTGGTAGAGTCAAGAAAAGAAAAGAAAATAATAATAAACGCAAACGCGGAAGAAACATTTTTATATATTTATAGCAGCCGTGCGGAGCTCTTTATTGCATGGAAAGTTTCATTCGTGATTTCGAGGCCCGTATCTCGAGCTACGACGACGACGATCCGATACTGCAGGGCTGCCATTTTCACGTTTCTAGATGCTTAAATTGATGGCCGAGATTTCGGCCGCCGTGCACTACAGGCAGCAGCAGCAGCAGCAGCAGCTACAGCCGTTACTCAGCCAGATTAGCGATAATTGAAACGCTCGGCAGTGCAGCTCGTGTACGTTATATATATACGCCGTGCAGCTTGCATTATATGTGACGAATCTGTGCCACGTGCATATCAGCTCTCTCTCTCGTATTTGTAACGCATATAGCTGCCGCTGCTGCGTGTGCAGTGCCGAGCGGAGCAAGAGAGAGAGAGAGAGAGATAGATAGAGACAGAAATGTATAGTCTTATTACGCAATGAGGCGCACGCAATTCTGAGAGCGAGAGAGAAGCTCGCGCAGCTCCGATCGATTTCGCACTGCAGCAGTTGCAGCGTGTGCGTTGGATTTGTTTTTCTTTTTTTTGGTTTTTTTTTTGTTGCCGCGCTCTCAGCTGCTCTCCGAACAAAAAAAAGCGTCGAATCCGATCCGCATTTCCGCGCACGTAGCAGCGCTTCTCACGTTTATTGTCTCGACTCTCCCAGCTATTATTACGCAGCCAAGGTGTCGATTGCCGACGGCGAATTCGCGAGCTCGATTAAACTCGCCTCGAGGAATTCAGCTGGGGATGTGTGCGACGCACGAGAGTCACACGTGTACTATATGTAGCATTAATTAATGCATCTGCAGCTCGTCGTCCGTCTTATCGGCCGACTCGGCTGTGTGGTGCAGTCGATATTACGTAGTCGCGATGGTCCTAACAGATAGCGGTTGGTATTCGAGAATCAAAGTGTACGGGAGAGACGAAAGCCATCGACCGATGCGAGCCAATTGACTGGTGGTTGCAAGTATAGGAGAGGTAAATTTGCAGCCGCACACACGCTGCAAAACGTTGTTTTTCTCGCTCGATCTCTCGAACGAGAAGAGCAAGTGTCGGAACGAAATAATTTTTTCCGCCATAACGGACAGTCGCAGGTATATCCTGCTAAATTAGTTCGCGTGCAGCTGTATCGTGCGGTTTTCCGGCCAGCTTATGCGCGTAATATATTGTCGCTGGGCGGCGATTCCATCGAGCCGCTGCTCCATGCAAAGAGATATTCTCGTAAACATCTCACTTCGACGCGTTCCCTGTATAAATACCTGCTGCTGCTGCCCTACTGTGTATAAGCGATGTGTAAAAGCGAGATTCGCGTGCGGATGGACCGACGCGCGTTTATGTTTGTGTACGTGTGTGTGTATACTCGAGCCGTGCTCCGGCCATGAATTATTGCGTGCGCGCGTTTGCGGCTCGAGGCGGCGGCCCGCTTCGCTGTAATACTTGGCGCCTCTTCCCTTCTTCTTCTTCTTTTTTTTCTTACTTTCCTCGAGCTGATTTATTCAAATACTGTGCACGTGCGAAAACGCGAGAAGGGAAGACTTTATTTTTCCGCCTTATATCGAGTACGTTTCGAAATGCCGATGGTTTGTCGAACCCTCCTATATACTGTCTGTTGTACACAAACCGTGTAGCTGTATCGAATCACGAGTCTCGAGTCTCATACTGGCGTGTCCCCCCGCGAGGCCACATAAATTCACGGACGAATGACTTTACTGCGAAACTTAACGATCGCTGCACACACACAGCAGCAGCAGCGTCTGACCGGGCGCTTGACTCGTACTACTTGCTTCGGCCAACAACGCCACGCTGCTACTGTATATATACAGCGGCAGTAGCTACACAGCAAATAATAGCGTATAAGCATGGATCTCTCTCTTTCTGTCCTCTACCCAGCGAAATCCTATTTTTATCCCATTTTTCGCGAGTTTACTTTTCCTTTTTTGTCGACGCAGCGCAATTGACTTCCGTGAACGAGACAGACTCGCGAGCGGATGATGGACACGAGTGGCTGCACACACATACGCGCGCGATATAGGCTGCGCTCGCTCTCGTTCTCCAGTCCCCCGAAAATCGACTAATGAATATATGCACATAATTCACGAGGATTAAATGCACTCGTTCGGCTAGTCATTTGTTTATTTTATACGCTCTCGCGGAGTCGCGTCGCAAGCACAATGTATTGTATGCGCCGAGCGCGCACTCTATAGCACGTATATATATGAGTGAAGCGAACAAATGCAGCTCATCGATATTCAAAAGTCCGAGCGCTGATCGACTCACATTTGGCCTCGAGGAATTGTTTTACACTACGAAGAAACAAGTATTAATTGAAAGGGGCCAGAGATCGTTTATTCGTTCCTTCCTTCCTTCCTTACTCGAGAGAGAGAGATAGAGAGAGAGCGAATAAAAGTTTGCGGATCGGAACTTGCTCATCTCATCGTCGTCGTCGTTTTCCTTTCTTAATTTCTTAAATAACTAATCTCGTCTTCAGTGGCTGACTGGACAAAGTGCCACCCCAAGCAAATTTTCATCTGCCGCTCACTTAGACGATTGATTTATGAAAACTCAAAATATTAAATTCAGTAACACGACAATAGGTAAAGGTGTAATGATAGTTAAAGCACAAAGTTCAAACGAGAAACTGTATAATCATCTATGTACATTTACAATTGTCTAGAAAAAAATCAACACCTGTAATTATTTTACTATTGAGATACACGCTATTATCTGATGAATTAGTCAAAATAATATAATCAGTGTTAACTGCGTAAAGTAAACTATAATAGAAGGATATACGATAATAATGTAAAAAAATGGCTCCGATAAAACATCTCTGATCATGATCCAAAATACTAAAAGGGTCGATATATCCTAGAGTATACCACTAGTATTTGCCATCATCACATTTTTAGTAAGTTTGAGACTTGATTAACAGGTATTTGTTATTTGGCAATTATTGTTATAACTTAAAGTCTTCACTTTTTTCAGCTCGTTGCAACTTGTTTGTAATCGGTTTCTGTAAATTTTATGGACTGTATTTTTGTGTCAACTGAGTTACGATGGAATACATAATTTTTGTTACCTTCGTGAACTAACTTTTGGTGTCTGGTCAAATCGTTTCGATGTCTAAACATCTTCTCGCAATTATTGCACGTGTAATTTTTCTGATCTCCGTGGACTGTTTTTTGATGGAGAAGCCAATTTGATCTTCGTTCAAATTTTTTCTCGCACTTGTCGCATGCAAAATCTTTGCGATTATCATGTACCGTCATTTGGTGTTTGGACAAATTGCCTCGTTCTGCAAATTTCTTCTGACATTTGTCACAAACAAAATCTTGTCGACCTTCATGGACTGTTCTTTGGTGTTTGATCAAATTGCTTCGTTCCGCAAATTTCTTCTGACATTTGTCACAAGCAAAATCTTGTCGACCTTCATGGACTGTTCTGTGATGTCTAATCAAATCGTGTTTCATTCCAAATTTCTTCTCGCACTTATCGCATGCGAAATTTTTGCGACCTTCGTGGGTTATCTTTTGATGGGAGAACAAATGCGGTCTTTGTCCAAATTTCTTTTCACATTTGTTGCATGCATAATCTTTGCGACCTTCGTGTACTGTTCTTTGGTGGTCGAGCAAAATCGATAGATATCCAAATTTCTTGTCGCACCTATTGCATGAGTAATCTTTGCGACCTTCATGGACTGTTTGTTGGTGCCTGAACAAAGTCGATTTTTGTCCGAATTTCTTCTCGCAATTGTTACATGAGTAATCTTTCCGACGCTCGTGGACCGTTTTTATATGCGTGTGCAGATGAATTTTATATCCAAAATTTTTTTCACACTCGTGGCAAGCGTAATATTTGCGACCCTCGTGAACTCTTGTTACGTGCAAGAACAAATTAAATTTATTTCTGAATTTTTTCTCACAGTCATCGCATATGTATTCTTTTAAATGTGTATGTACAGTCCGTAGATGGAATAGCAAATGCGATTTATATCTAAATTCCTCCTCGCACTTGTCGCATGCGAAATTTTTGTAATCCTCATGGAATGTCGTTATGTGCATTAGTAACCTCTTTTTATTTCCAAATCTCTTGGCGCACTTTTCACATAAGTAATCTTTGAAAACTTCGTGAAATATTTTTTTATGCTTGAGTAAAGTTGATTTAGTTTCAAATTTCTTCTCGCACTTGTTGCATGAGTAATCTTCGTGATCTTTGTGAGCTGATTTTTGATGCTGAAACAAACTTGTTTTTTTCACAAATTTCTTGTCGCACTTGTCGCAAGCATAATCTTTTTGTTCATCGTGAACTGTGTATCGATGTGTTATCATGGTTGATTCCAGTGTAAATGCCTCCTGGCAAATATCACAAACGTATTTTTTTTCGTTCAAAACAACAATTTCGTGTTCAATTGAATGATTGTCCGATGCAATTTCCTCGGATTTTTTCACACTCGTTACCATTTTACTGCTTGAAATAAACGATGTATCCTTCTATTTATTTTCACGAAAATTGAATTAGTAAAATTTATCTTTTCATATTAAGTCTTGTTTCATCTTTTCATATTAAGTCTTGTTTCATTGAGAAAAACAACATTTAAACTGATTTAATTCTATTATAAACTTGATTGATGTATCGAGGAACGATGTCAAAATCGTTTATAACCATATTGTTTACAATTAGATTACCGATTTTCTGTTTATACATTTATCCTACAATTTTAGAACCAATTTAAAAATGGTAAATATAAAAACTGACAGGATGACCGCAGGAGGACACTGGACGTGTGACCTAAAATTCATCACCTTGAAATAAAAAAGTTCCAGAGAACTTTTTACATGAAATCGATTAAATTTTCAGTAAACGCTAATATATGCAATGTTGAACGTTTCATAATAAGCTTGCAGAAGCAATGTAGCCAAAACATGCACGGAGAGTAGTAATTAACAGTACGCGAAATTTGGTTTGGTTAAAAAATAATGTACCACCACGACAGTGAACACAAGCGTTATGATAGTTGATTTCACGAGGTTCAGAAAAAACACAATCATTTCGGTAGAAACTTTATGAGAATTTTAGAAAAACTTTTACCTGAAATTACATATAAGTTTCTATATATATTTAGAATTGTCAAAAAAAAAAAAAAAACATCGGCGCTAGTCATTATTTCACTGATGAGATACGCGCTATTATCCGAGTAACAATATAAAGCAAATAACGGCAATCAGTTCGTGACATTCTTATAAACAATAAATTATTATTATAAACTTGATTATTGTCTTAGGTGAGAATCGATACAATTGTACACATTCACATACAAAAACGTTGTCATTATCTGTATAATTCGGTGTCCACTAAAATTTGGTAACGTACATGATTTCTAATCGTATTTTTCGTATGCAAAATCTTTGCGTCATCCGAGTACTGTTTTTTGATGTGCTCAAATTTCCTTGTTCCCCAAATTTTTTCTCCCTCTTGTCACATGGGGGTAATTTATGCGACCTTCGTGTATTGTTTTGTGGTTCCTATCAAACTTTTTTTTCCGTCAAAATACCTTCTCACGATTCTCGCATGCGTAATCTTTCCGACCTTAGTGGAATGTTTTTCGATGCTTAGTCAAATTACTTTGATACCCGAATTTTTTTTCGCACTTGTCACACGTGAAATCTTTCCGACTTTCATGGAATGTCCTTTGGTGTCTAGTCAAATTACTTTTTTGTCCAAATTTCTTTTCGCATTTGTCGCATGCGTAATCTTTCCGACCCTCATGGACTGCCGTTATGTGATTGAGCAAATGCACTTTTTGCCCAAATTTCTTCTGGCATTTTTCACATGCGTAATCTTTGTAACCGTCATGTATTATTTTTTGGTGCACCATCAAATTGCTTTGTCCCCCAAATTTCTTCTCGCATATGTCACATGCGTAATCTTTGCGACCTTCGTGGACTATCTTTTGGTGGAGAAGCCAGGAAGATCTTTGTCCGAATTTTTTCTCGCATTTATCACATGCGTAATCCTTCAGATCTTCATGGACTGTCCTTTGGTGCAAAAGCATATAAAATTTATATCCAAATTTCCTGTTGCACTTGTCGCACGCAAAATCTTTGCGACCCTCGTGGACTGCTCTTTGATGATCGAGCATACGCGTTTTGGTTCCAAACTTCTTCTCGCATTTGTCGCATGCATAATCTTTGCGACCCTCATGAACTATCTTTTGGTGCTGAGTCATAATCCACTTTAGTCCAAATTTCTTCTCACATTTATCGCAAGCAAAATCTTTACGACCTTCATGGGCTGTCTTTTGGTGGTAGGATAAAAGCCTTTTATATCCAAATTTTTTTTCGCACTTGTTACATGCGTAATCTTTGCGACCCTCGTGGATAGTCTTCACATGTATGAGCAAACTTTGTTCATTTTTAAATCTCTTTGTGCAATTGTCGCATGCGAAATCTTTCCGATCTTCGTGGACTGTCTTTTGATGCTCAGACAAATTCGATTTTTTTCCAAATTTCTTTTCACACTTGTCGCATGCGTAATATTTGCAACCTTCGTGTACTGTTATTCGTTGGAAGAGCAAATTCGATTCACCATCAAATTTTCTCCTACGCGCGTCACTTGCAAAATCTTCGCGACCCTCGTGGACCCTCGTTATGTGCATTAGCAACCTCTTTTTATTTCCAAACCTTTTGGCGCACATTTCACATAAGTAATCCTTGAAAACTTCATGGAATATTTTTTTATGCTTGAATAAAGTTAATTTATTTTCAAATTTTTTATCGCACTTGTTGCATGAGTAATCTTCGCGATCTTTGTGTACCAGTTTCTGGTGCGTAAACAAACTCGATTTTTTCACAAATTTTTTCTCGCACTGGTCGCATGCAAAATCGTTGCGGCTTTTGTGTTCTGATATTTGGTGTCTGCTCAAATGACTTCGGAACTCGAACTTTTTTGCGCATTTGTCACATGCGTAATTTTTTTGTTCGTTGTTGGTTGTGTCTTGATGTATTATCCCACTTGATTCTAGTGTAAATGCCTCCTGACAAATATCAAAAACGGGCTGATTTTCATCAGAAACAGCAATGTCGTGTCCACTAGGATTATTTTTCGATATAACTTCTTCGGATTCCTGATGATTTTTATCCATATTAGTGCCTAAAATAAACGATGTATCCTTCTATTTATTGTCACAAAAATTGAATTAGTAAAATTTATCTTTTGTTATTATGTCTTGATTCCTCGAGAAAAACAACATTCAAACTGACGTATCGAGGAACGATGTCAAAATCGTTTTGTTGACAATTAGATTACCGATTTATCTGTTTATACATTTATCCTACAATTATTGAACCAGTTTAAAATTCCAAATTAGCGCGGATTTCTTTGAAGAATATTTTGGCCATTTAAAACTAAGTACTTTAAAGTAATTATATCCTCGTACACATATGTTGTGATAAATGTTAATATTTATTCAAAAGTTTTCCATCCCCCCAATCCACGGTGTCACGGCATAAAGTAATTCGATCTCGCTCCGATTCTTTCGAGTCTAGCGCGTCATTTACGCAGCAGCCGCAGTAGCCTCGTGTAAGCTGACGTTGGTTCCCGCCGACTCGCATGTGTATATAGCACACACATCCAGCCAAAGTTTCGCTTAGCTCGAATGAGCTTTAGTAGCAGCAGCAGCAGCAGCACATGATATAAGCACGCGTATCCTATCCTTTATTCACTGATTGCTTATTGTACGAGACATGCGAAATGGTAACACACACGGCACATCGGTAGCTACAAAACTTTGGGCGCTTCCGAGCGATCCAACTCGCTTTTTCCGCACACCCCCTCTGCGATACTTTTCTACTTTGATGCGCGAGCGAGCAGTACTACGTACGTATGATACACGCGAGATCGTGCCGAGTACGCGGGATAAATAGATTATGGGCTGCGAGCCCAAGTTGTCCGTGTGTGCAGTATGCGGCCCGCAGAGAGCGAGAGAGCCGCATCTTATCGGAATCACTCGTGTATAGCTCGTAAATTTTATCGAAAATTCCTCCATCGCGGAGAGCTTGCAGAGCGGTAGCGGGGGAGGGCTAGCTTACGTATGTGTAGCTAGCGTAATAGGGCGCAAGTAGTGCACATGCGCGGCCGAGCGCCAACGCGCGTATCTGTGTGTATAATACGGCACGACGACTCGACTAGCCGCGCTCGTTCACTTTCAGTGTCCCCCTTCCTTCCTCCCTCCCGCATTACACAGTGTATAGATCTAATCTGCGGCGATGGCCAGCGGGACATTGTTCTTGATACACGTTGAGCGGTTACTGGGATATATATGTTATACGCGCGTACTTCTGCAGCAGCTCGATCATTATTGCAT